TATATAGACAGTATATATTTAAAAATATAATAGTTCTTCTGAGGCATTGTTAAAAATTATGTTTTAGTTGAAATATACATTGATAAAAAAAAGAGATTGGTGTTGTATATCGGTCATTGGCTGCCCTGATTTCCAAAGATCAACATAAGCCACAGAAAAACATATCAGTCTACCTCAAAGTGAGATATGTCCTTAACCCTCCGAATCAAACTGTCAGTCACTTATATTACCCAACAAAGGGATTAAATCTATATGAAATGTAAAATAAGACTTTTGTTTTGGGGATCTCTCTTGAAAAGTGATAAAGTGTACAAATAATCCATCCATCCATCCATCCATCCATTTTCTGTACACGCTTCTTCCTTTTCAGGGTTGTGTGGGTCACTGGTGCCCATATCCAGCAGTCACAGTGCGAGGGGCGGGGTACACCCTGGACAGGTCACAAGTCCATCACAGGGCCACACATAGATACAAACGAGACAAACAACCATTCACTCTCTCACTCACACCTAGGGACAATTTAGAGTTATCAATTAACCTGACAGTCATGATTTTGGTCTGTGGGAGGAAGCCGGAGTACCCGGAGAGAACCCACAAATAATAAAAAATTTAAATTAAAACCCAAGATATTGTCTTTAAAATTTCAAAAGTCTCTTCCRACTTTGTTGTGGAAATGTCTGTTTAATTCATCCCACAGGCTGGTGTTTAGTATTTAATGTTGTCCCGTTCTGTTTGCAGTGTGCTGGAGGCACAGGACTTGAGTAGGGTGTGTTGAATTATTTAGTGATACTCTACTCTTAAGCTCACACTGACTACAGATAMGAAAATTAATTTTAAAAAGTGTTCAAAAACTAATCTGCTGCATTGTAACACTCACAGAGCTTTAATAAATGTTGATGATTGCTACAGGATTCCACAAAGATACTGTCTTCTRCAAATGTCTACATTTTAAGAGGTACATTTAAAAAAAAAAAGAGAGAAAAACACAAATTTGGTTCAGTAATTGACTGTGCTACAAGGGAATAAAAACAGCTATTTTAAAGCCTGAATGTAGCTGAAGTATAAGCTTAAAGACTGATGTCATCCCTCCCAGTGACAGGGAAGCAGCCTGACTCAGACACGGATGGCAGACAGGAAGTCTTCAGTGGCTCTTAGATCGTGTGTTTAGTGTCTGCTGATAAGAAAAAAGCCTTATGAGTGAATGCATGCTTTATGAGTGAATGCATGCTCGCCATAACAAAAGGTTTTGGATAACACGACAACAAAGTTGAGACCAGAGGAGCATCTCACTCAAACAAAGAGGCGACGGTTCAGACAGGAACGCCACRCTGGAATGGATTAAAAGCTCCTCTACGGACAGCAGAGGAGGAGATCAGACGGTGAAACAAATCAAACCGGTGTGAAAGAAACAACCAACTTCAACAGCACAGTCTGGTTTTCATCCATGTAACAGAGATGTAAACACACTCACCCGGGTGTGTGTGTTCTTTCTAGTCTGGGACATGTTTACCCAAACCGCTCGTCTTTAACCGAGGGAGTGTGTCATAAAGACAGCATCGACCAGACAGAAGTGGGGGGTCAAGTAGCGAGCGGAGGGGCTTCAGTGATGCTGCYGGAGCATCCCCCTCTTCATCCTCTGTGTCCTCACGCAATCCTTCACCASATCTGTCAGAATCCCACCCTGTCCCTCCTTTTCTGCAGCTGACCGGAGTCCTCCAGAGGTTTACTGCTACAGCAAGAAGTTTCTGAGGTGGTGGAGGCTGCTCGCCCGTCCCTCTGATGAATGGATCAAACACAGGTAGCAGAGAAATGAAGGTGGGGGGRAAAAGAAATAAGCAGCCAGGCTTGGTCTGCTGCAAGTGCATCAGCTGAGCAGCAGCACTGCACTGCACTGCCTGCTTCTGCAGGAGGGAGGGAGCTGTAGGCCCAGAGGCGTTGGGTCCTAAAGCCTGCAAACACACCTCTCAAGAGCTTCTCAAAATAGACTATTAATAGTCCTACTTGTGTCCTGACTTGGGATGATGCAGGGATTCTGCATACATCAGTGTTCATGTTTGTCTGTTAGCAAAATATCTCAGGAACCACTACTTTAATGAAACTTTCAGAAATGTTAAGTAGTTGTTGTTTATCTGTATACATCTACAACTGGCTACATTTTCAACGCTAACCTTAATTTAGGACGCCTGCCGCAGCTAATCCATTTTAGCAAACACAAGAAATATCTCTAACGTAATCAGTTTTACAGACAGTGTTTGTGTAAGTAGCTGAATCATTTACAACACGGACTCTGACCGAGCAGGACACACTGCACAAAATTCTAGTTTAAAACGCAGGCATGACTTGACGGTTTCAACACTGTCCAAAATACTTGCAAAATACTTCATGAACGCAAGACATCATTACACCGTGACGGATGAATCAATCTGATATCATTCACAAACAATAATCCATCCATCCATTTAGGGCTGCAACGATTAATCGACGACTAATCGATTATTAAAATAATCGATGACTAATTTAATAATTGATTAATCGTTTTCTTTTTTTGTTTGTTTGTTCTTTCCTTTGTTTTTCTCTCCAAACTGCTTTGACACTTTCCACTGCCAC